TCTAAAGCTATTTTAAAAAAGCATAAATTTGGTAAACTTTGGAGGTTAGAGAAAAAGATAATGGTTAATGCAATTAAAAATAGTAATGAAGATATCTATTATGAACTTCTTAGATTTTTTTCATCAATTTAAACAAGAATAACTAATAAATATAGTGTGGATTATGATCATAGTAGTATGATTATTCAAAATCTTATTGAGTGAAGACCAAAAGATTATCTTGCTAAATCAGATTGAAAAAGAATTAAAAGTGTTATAGAAAATTCTAAAACTTAATATAGATGCAAGGTGTTCAAACAAAAAGGTTATAATCGTAAAACCTATAAAAAAAAAAGATATCATCATCCAAAAGATATACAAAGTGAGAAGTTTCAAGATTCATTAAATACAAAACTTTCCAAACTTCAAGAATTGTTGAAAATCTATTTACAAATAAACTAAGTTGTACTTGCAAACAGTCAAATAAGTTATTAATGCACCAGTCTAATTTATTAACATCCTAAATATTAACTAATTAAAGAATCTTAGAGTTATGCAAAAAACAATATAAATTATAAAACTCTTATCCTTTCTTTAAAACATACAACATTATAATCAATTTCTATAGCATAGTAATAAAGACTTAAATTCATCTGCTTTTTCTGCTTCTTCATTATATTTGATATCATGAACTCATTAAGCTATTATATAACAGGTTTAAAAATAGATTTAGATGCATTTTTTGGTCCTGTTTTTAGTATAGTTTGCTTCCAAATTATAAACTCACAATAATTACACTTTTCCTGATATCTTTTTTTTAACACATCAAACAATTTATACAATGAAAGATTCAAAATACCAAAAAAGCATTTCAATATAAAATTTTCACTCTCATTGTAAGAGGTTGACTGTATGCCAGTAGTAAAATGTCTATTTATAAATGTGTATACTCAAAATTGGGTATTAGATTCTAAAGACCTTATCAAATAATCTTTAGCCCATAGATAGTTTTGTAATAATTTTTTTCATTTTTAAATAAATAAAATAGTTAAACTGCTTTAATACAATATTTTTGCACTATTATAATTTTCATAGCTTATGCTGAATATTGGGTTTATTTTAATCTAAAATTTTAAAAATTTTGGACTATTTTTAGTTCTTTTTTAAATTAGGTTAAGATTAAAGTTTAAATGTTTATATGTTTAAATAAATTCTAATTTCCAGCATCAGCTGCAACAATAATTAATATACACTATATATTATATTACAAACTACAGTCTAATTTCTCTATAATCGCACTGTTGAAAATATAATAACTTTTTTGAAAATATACTTATAAAAAGTCTGTACTTATATATAGATTTTTTTTCTATATGTTTATACTAGTCAGTTTTAAAATAAATATGCTTATAAAGAGAATTTTTATATAATATGCTTATATAGGAAGTGACTATAAGAAGGTTTGATTATACTATTAATACTAAAAAAAAAGATTCTTACAATATAACAATAAATATTTAACTTTCATTAAATTTTTCCTTCACTATACTATTTCTTGTTATATAAAATTTTTCATAAAATTGTTAAAGTCAGAATCTAATACTTTCTTAAGATTTTTGGTAAATTCTGGCTTATGTACCAAATACAATGCATGTAAAATATATCAGGAAATTGAACTATGACTGCACTATTAACTGCCAGATTACTGTCTATCACAAAAACCTTTGGTACTAAACTGTGTTTCATCATCAACAATAACTTAGACAACTATTCATGTTTTCAGATTGTTATCAAATATAACAAAAATTGATAAAGATTGATGTAATGATTAGTTTTATATATGTTGTTGTGTATTATAATATTGTGATAATGTAACTAGAGAATTTGTTGTTTAGGTCTTATCTAAAAAAGATGAGTCAAAGAAAAAGTGACTAGATTAATTTTTACTAAAAATATCTATCAGAAGTTTTTAATTTTTTTTATAAAACCATTTTAATAATAATCTTGTATTATTCTTGCCTAACTCTGAATTATAACAAAATCTACTAATAATATTATAAAGATCTGATCAATATATTCTAGTTTTATATTTTTTCTGGATTATTCAATATTGCATAATTGCATCTGCCTTTGTGATAATTATTAAAAAATGAATTTTATTAAGAATGTTTTATGGAAGCTTTCATAACATTGGGTCGAACCGATTTGCTAACAAATTAAGTTCATGGCCAAAATATTAATTGTTTAAGGTTGTAACCTTAAGACAATTTTTATTCTTTTTAACCTATATATTAATACTTTATAGACATTCTATTCAACAAGAAGTTCTATTTGGTTGCATTTTTCCTGAAGGTTTTTCAGCATATCAACATAATTATATCTGTTTTATTACTTGCTTAGTTGTTGTATCTGTTCTTTCTTCTTCTTTAATTTGTATTCCGTAGCCTTTAGTAGCAGCATATTTCTTTATGAACTTTTCTATTTGACACCAATTTTGGAATATTTTATCAACAAAGAGCTCTGGAGTTTCAATCTCTTCATTATTGTTAAACCTAAAAAAATAAATGAAGAATAAAGATTAATTATCATAAAAAAATATTAAAAAGGTATTTTTACTTATTCATCAGAATCAGAAAATTCCTCTATACTATCATACATCATTAATGCCTCAAGTTCAATATCTTGAATATCTAATTCATCCATATTTAACCAAGAAATTATTATAAAGAAATTTGCAGTTCTAAAAAATTTTTAATAAGACTTACAGTATTATTCTAAATATAACAGTTTATATATATAAACCTTAAATTTTATGTTTTGCTTTAAGTAGTTGGATAGATAAAAGGTGATCTTTTTTTTTAATTTTGCTTTGGTTATAATTCTTTTTTCTTTTAGTTTTGCTTTGCTTATAATTTTTTTTTTGTTCTAGTTTAGCTTTAGTTATACTTATTGAATTCCTTTAGTTTATACTTTCTAATTTTTTTTTATTTTTTTTATTTCATTAGTTTTATACTTCTAAATTTTAGATTTTTTTTTCTTTTTCTTGATTTACTATCTCTTAGTTTCTTTTAATTTTAAGATTTATTTGTTTCTTTACTAACAGAAAGAATGCCTAGTTTTCTGCTTGAACTATAGATTTTAAAGACAATCATAATTTTAACATTCTGCAAATTTATAAAGTTTGTTATTAATAT